GAGGCTGAATTAAATGTTCATGCAGTATTTGTGAGGACAGTGCTAGCAAAATACAAACAGTCAGGGAGGCTTTGACCCTGGAGCTCCAGCTTTGGCTGCAGTTTGATTTTTATGGCAGTTTAAATTGTTCGTAGATTTTTTTTTTTTAAATAGTCTTTGAACCACGCTTGGACCCAAGCACTGAATTGGTGCCTTTCTTTACTCCAGTGTCTTGTCTGCTTACCCAAGGATGAGCAGGGCTGTGCCTTCCCCCACCTCTACCAGTATTGGCCCCACTCCCTGCTGAATCGTTCTCCTCCGAGAAGCTGCCTGTGTCCTCTGAGCTCCCTGGAAATCCTTGGCAGGAGGGGAAATATCACTCTGCTGGGTTTTTTGCTCTGCCTCAGCTCCACAAGAAACTGCTGAGATGTGGTGTTGGGAGTGCTCTGTAGTTGCTACGTGTCCGTCACACTGATGGTACTTGCATGCCTACAATTACAGAGCGTCGGAGGGAGCGGCTGGATGAGCAATAACTCCGCTCAGAACCCAGTCCTTTAATCAAAGTGGCATTAAGATCTTGCTCTGCAACATTTTCTCCCCCTCTGCCCTTGTGTCTGTCTTGAGCGTTGCTCACTGCAACATCCCAGGTTGGCTGATGGGCATCATCCACAGCAAGTCGTCGGTAACTGCAGGACTCGCTCCCGGCCGCAGGGCCTGGTGCCATGGCTCTCGGCAGCTAAGTGTGTGTGCATGTTGTACAGCGGGAGGTTAATGGAGGGATTCCACCCACCGCCCTAAAATCCAGTTCCTAAACGCTGACCCTTAAGTCTTTGAAACACAATTATGGCTTGACCTATGGGTCAGCAGAGTCAGGGATAGAAAGGATGGATTAAAAATTAGTGTCTTTGCTCACATGTGCTGACTCAACTCTGTAATGAGTAGCAAATGACATATTGATGCAGCATTACGTGAGGACGTGCTTGTTGCCACCTAATGAAAAATTTTGGCTGAAGGTGACCCAGGATAGAGGTGGAGCAGGGTTCTTGCAAAGCATTGCTTTTCTTGCAGCTCTCTGAAAATGAAGGGCTTCCTCTTGATACCTAATTAACATAATTGAATTCCTCTTAAAAGCAAGAGACTGACTTATCTCTTCCTAAGAAAGCAGAACTAATGAACTTGAATTGCCTTTGTTAGAGCCCCCTCCAGTTGGGCAACACTACCCATAAATAGGCACAAGGCATTTGCTGTGTTTTTGCATCTGAACCCTGGCAAGCATGTGGTTTGGGTTGTTAGTGAAAACACTTTCCATGGTAACCCTCTACTTCTCTGATTTTTCCATAAAGCATTAATAATGAGCTCACTGGTGAACTAAGTCACCTCCTAGGTAAGAGCTGTGCAGAGCTTACTGCGGTGACAAATAGGTAGGTTGAGAAACTCGTGTGGGTGTCTACATGGGTCTGTGAGGTCTATCAGATGCACCCTGCCTGGGGGAAAGTTTGCCTTCTTTCATCCTGTGGAGAGACGGGATCATTGCTTCTCCAAACACCATGACCTCAGCACCCAGCGCGGAGGGGAGCGAGATCGCAGTGCTTGGTTTGCCTACAGCCAGGCTAGAGGATCTTGATTAAAATGCCTGTTTGCTTCCTGTTCAGGAAGAACAGACCATTTTTCTCCAAGCTGTGCTGATATGCTTTGCCTCTTGCATGTGAGCCACGGCCACGCTGTGGGGAGGTGTGTGCCCCACCACCCGCCCCGCTGGGTGATGTCCCTAACCACCCTCAGGCCAACTGGCTAGTAAGATCAGAGACATTTGTAGGCGGCTTTCCATCATGCTCTTTTCTGTTGCTGCCACCTTCTTCCAGCTCTGCTGTCCCCCTCCTGCTGGTGATCCCAGTTTCCATGCTGGGAAGCATCAGATGTTGCTTTAGCACCAACCCACTGCTGCTCTCTTCTCCCGAAGGGGCCTGGGAAGCACCTTGCCATCAGCGTGGCTCTGCCTGTGCGCTGCGGGGGATTTATCTCCTACTGCCCTGATTTATCTGCTGCGTTGGGGCACACTGTGGTCCTCTGTGCAAGAGCTTTTCCCTACTCTAAAGACACATAGGAGCTGTGGGGGAGGACACTGTGGCCACATTCAAGCAAGAACAGTAGCCATGCTGCTGGCACCTTGAATGTCAGCATCATGTTGTCTTCAGTACAGAAAGAGACCTGCTTGGTCCTGTACTGCTTGAAATGAGAGGGGGGGAAGATGTGATTTGAAGTGAGTCACCCTGGCAGAAGGTAGGGGAGTTGGTCTGGCTCTTGCATCAAGCTCCTCGGAGCACCCAGGGGTGTTCACCAGCTGGGGAGGAGTCCGTGCGCCCAGGGCTGTGCCGCGGTGCAATGCAGCGGGTGTTCCCTGTGTACCTGCCTTTGAAGTGTGGCAGGACTTGTATGAGCTCCGAGCCTGGCCAGCTGACGTGGTGCAACACCTCCGAGGGGGATGGGAGCTCTCCTGCTGATCACAAACTTAATTAGATGACACTTACTTTTGGAGCTGGAAAAAACTCTTGGTGATGCTTGTCAGAGATGCTGGCTGAATGGTAAATAAGGTTAGCAATATTTGGACCAGGTGTTTCCAGGAGATATCAAATTGAAAACCAAGTGAAGTTGTCAAGTAAAACAGAAAATATCAGGAGGGAGACCTGTGCGAGTCTCTGAGAGGGGTTAGAAGCAACACAGAGCCCAAACTGCAGAAATGTTTTGACAGCAGCAAGATTCAGGCCTGGAGGAGTGGAGCGTCTGGCGTGAGGGAGGAGAAATCAAGTTTCTCCTTTCCAGCTTGACAGAAGCAATTCCCCTTTCCGCTGCGGGGGCCAGCCCTCTCTTTCTTCAGCTGGCCTGGAGCCTCCTTTCAGTGCTGCCTTACTCTGGCTTGCTGCGGGTGGGCAGGGACCGGGTGCGACAGGCTGGGTGCTGGAGCAAAGGAGGCGCCTTCTCCAGACAATCCTTTCTCCTTCACTTCTCTGAGTCTTTGTCTCAGAGCTTCACTGAGAGTCATTGAGGGACAGGCCCTACAAGTAACTGTGAGTGCTCTCCCCCTCCTTCTTCACCTCCCCCTCCTCCTCCTCCTCTTCCTCTTCCTCCCCTACCAACAGCAAGATGCTTAGTGGCAGTGAAAACAAAACAACATGGTGAAGTTCATTTCGGGGTGTCACGTCCACCTATTTCAGCATCACCCAAATGCCTTGATCTTGCCCCAAGCAGCATTTGGAAATCTCTGGCCAAGGCTGGGCAGAAAAGTATGGAACAGAGTTACATGTAACTGCTCCCTTGTGTCCCTCCTCGGTGGTCCTCCCAGGCTGTGAGCCAGAGCTGAGCGTGGGTGGTAGGGATGCCCATGTACGTGCTCCTCGCTGCAGCCAGCGCCTGGCTGCTCATGCCCCTTGCG